GTAGGACACCACAACCGTGAATGGGGCTAGTAGGGTCCGTTGTGGGGCGATCCCAGGACAGTACGGGCCTTCGAGAGTCTTGCCCATGTCTTGCGACGGACCCAAGTGGTCGTGCATCAAGGGCATTGGAGCCTCACAAGTAGTCACCAGTGACCGCGCAGGCGCCCGTCACGAGTGTAGTCTCGCAGTCACGGCATCTTGAGGGGCTCCTATCGAGTGTTCTGGATTCGTTGGGCCGCCGACTCCGCGGAAGAACTCCTCTAGAGTGCGCGAGACGGGAGGTTCATTGGCACCACGGCCAGGTTGAGCTTGAGACTGCCGATCTTGTTCTTGTACATGATTCGGGGAATTATGATTAGGAGACGGGGGGACGGGTTCTTCTCGAACATGCATTCTCGAGGACTCGAGAATTCGCAGGTGGTTACGAATAATCGTGTTTTCGGACATGATGGCCGCGAGTAAGGTCCTGATTTCTCGGACTTCGTTGGCATTCCTTGTAACTTGAATGTGTAGATCCTGAGAATTTTCACGTGGAGCCTCCAGGCTTTCAAGTACCTCGCATAGCTCTATGCGGACGGATAGAAGTAGGTCTTGATTTCCGGTGGGATTTTCCGGCGTAGACTTGAGACGAGATTCTCGCTCACTTCGATCGGGAACTCCTGATGCAAGCGAATTGGGGCGCTCACGAAAATCGGGGTACATGAGCGGCAGGACGTCGGGCTATTCCATGGTGCCCTCGAGCATTGCACGTAGATCATCGCGAATCTCGAAGCTCGCCAACGTGTCAACGGGCGCGCATGTAGACGTGTTCCCGTGTGGATTGCTCGCTGTTTCGAGCGCTTCTCGTTGCATCGCGGGCGGTGCCGATCGTGCGGCAGATCGGGTCTCGGGTGACATCTCGGGGGAAGGACGAAGTGAGGGGGAAGACTGCTACGGAAGGAGAAGGAAGGAAATCGTGAAAAGCGAAAGGGAAGTACACTTCTAGGTCGGGAGACCGGTGTAGTAGAACGCGAAACGTGGTCACGTGCTAAAACAAGGGTCGTTCGTGGGGTCGTGTACTAAGTAGCTAGGGGGAAGTGGTAGAGGCTTTCGGGCGACTGTAGAACCCGGGTGTGCTCGCGAACCACGGAAACTAGAAGCGAACGACGCGGTGCTCTCGACCCAGCGAGGCTAACACACGGCCAGCGAACCGTGCGCGCGAGCGGGGAGGCAACACGCGTCGTGGCCACGAGAGTCCTAGGGCGCGAGCGAGAAGAACGAGAGAGCGTGAACGAGAAGAAGTTAGTCGAGTGTTCCGCGCAAAACCAAGAACGAGGGTCGCGTCCTTGGTCCTTGGTTGCTTGTCCCCAAACCCACCCGGCGCAAGCGCTAACGACACTATATACTGTACTAGATCGCGGTCGAGATGTAACGGCTAGAGCTCACGAGGCCGCGTCATAGTACACACGTGTACAAGCGCGGTAGTAGGGCCACGTGTGCGCGTGTCGAAAGCGAGCAAGGCTGGTGTAAATGGGCTTCGTAGTGTACGTCGGGGTACTTGAGTTATCTAGATACACGTGTACACGAGTAGCGCGAAAAAGGGTACAACAGTGGCTCGGGTTTATACCACAATCTCTTATACAGATATGCGAGTCTGAAATTTTCTCCGCTTCAAAGTTACGCTACTGGAGATTAAAATGGGCAGAGCTCTTGCTTTTATTGATATGGGAAAGAGGACAATATACAACGTTGATGCGCTACAAGGTATGCGTTGGATACAACATGGGAAGAAATGTATAGTGGAGTTATTCGAAGCTGCTGGTGTCACACTAAAATCCTAGGTGAGGATGGTGATGCGAATAGTAACATGCTGATGCATCGTGATCGTTGCGAACTAGAAAACGAAATTGATCAAGTTGTACAAGATAGGAGGGAGCGAGTGCGAATATAATACCTTCTCCACAGAGAATCAGAAATGTACTCCACAGACTCAATCACCGACCGCGATCTGGTTGCTTTTATACCCGGACCTGAAGAACTTTCGATTAAAACAGAAGAAGACGGCGATGAGGAAGTGTTCTTGCTTCCTCTTCGTGAGCAGTTGCGCATTTTGGCTTCTGCACATGTCATTATGAGCAGTTATGACATCTCGGGGGAAGGGGGTTCCACGGAGGATGGAAAAGGCACGACATAGATTGAGACATCGAGCGCATGAGGAGTTCCATCAAACGAGAATCAGCGATTTTTAAGGATAGAGTTATGATAATCACACCTTCCGTAGTGATAAATCTATGTGTATGGATATTGTTGTCCTATACGAACGGCACTCTTATTCGGAGGTGGCTCCGTACACAGAACATCCCTCAGGGCTGTTCTATGTGAGTTAACCGGGTTTAGTAGATATTAAGTAACGTGTGTACTACGTATCGTCTTTCGCAGCACGTTGTCTTTCTTGCAAAGACTCGCAAACTACGCAAACACGGGAGAGTTGATTGTTGTTAGATTGACATCAGTAGAGACTGAGAAGTCCAGGGCGCGACTACAAACGGAGACATCAGGGAGCAAAATTGGTAGCCATTTATTTTTCCTAATTGAAATAATTCGATACGCAAAGAATCCATGACACCGCAGTCATTGACTCAAATATCTGCATCCGAGTCGCGATCCGGGAATCTCGCGTTGTGCATCTGCAATGAAATTCTCCTCGCGCGCCTACGCCGGTAGCGATCCTGGGATTGTCGTCGGCGCTCGACATGTTGCACACCAATGTGCATCTGGCGGTTTCTGATACGTTGATAGCGATCGAGATCTTTCTGTCGCAGAGGATGCCAATTAATATGGAGGTTAGTGAACGCAGCGCAAAACCGAAAAACAGTATCATTGCTTCCCTCCGCCTACTTCCGTTTGCTAGAGACAAAGTTCCACAATCCACAAGCCTTGCGGAAGTAGTTTTCAACTATTATCCTATCTGATGAAATGTTTCTATTGAACCGCTCGTCATCCACAAAAAGAACGGAGTTCGGTAGTTTTTTCTTCGTGCTGATGAGGCGAACAAATCTCTGTCCCGTCTTTGTACCCCTTATCCGCCAACAATGCCCACTGCGTTAGACAATCGCCTGCTAAAACTCCGAAATCTGTCACCTCCCTCTCACTTCTCTCCTTCTTCAAATTCGCCTTATGAAAATCCTTGTTTTCCTTAAACATTTCGAGGTCGGATACTGACCCTGGGAAATGCTCTCTACACCCGAGAGAAAGCCCATTTGGGAGAACGGATGCCTCTGTCTTGTCGCCATAGGGTTTGTGTTCCCGGAGAAATATTTCTTCCCCTCCTGCATGTTTCTACTAGGCCTATTACACATTTGGAAGGTGACATCCGTAGCGTAGCGGGCGAAACAGAAGTGCTTGAAAAGGAACTTCTCCTTGATCATTTCAGTCATGGAGTAGATCTCAGCGTTGGTCTCGACTATTGTGTCATACACATGCCGAGAGAGTATGTTGATGAAGCGCATATTCAGCCCCTCGAAAGTTGGGTCCTTCAAAGAAAACATCTTTGCCATCATATCCCACTGTCCACCGTGCTTCATGGTGGTCAACGTCATGAACAAGACGTCTTTTCCTGAATGCGGTGATTTCCGCCCCCGTCCACAGTTGTAGTTCGTGATGATGAATTCCCTGCAATTGGTACAGATGATCTGAAACTCGGTCAGGTAAAAATTTATCATACTGAAGATGGCCCTCCCTCCCCTACGTTTGTAGAAGCGATCGAAAATTGGGCTCTCGGAATTGTTCTATTCATCGGTGTCGGAGAGATCAGGTTGACCGGAGAAGTGTTCGAGCTCATTTTGCCGCTCCACGGCTGCATCGGCAAGAATTTCGAGAGCGTTGGTGGCATCAGCAGAAGAGAATTTCTGCATAGTTGAGTGAAAGATGCGCTGTGAGGTGGAGGAAAGGGGGAGACGGAGGAAAGGGGAAGACGGAAGAAGGGGAGGGCGGCGGAAAAGAGCAGGTGGACGGAACGTGCAGGCAGAAGGAACGTGCAGGCAGAGGTAGATGGGGTCTGTCGCTTCTGGAGCAGGCGAAGGGGGTTCATGTGTTGCCGAAAGACTTGGGCACTACGGAAAAGCCTCGGTCAGGAATGGTGTGAATTTGCGCTGCGCAATCACGCGTATCTCTTGAAGTTACCACATAACTGTGCTGGTGTTGTTCTTTGCTGTAGAACAGCTGTGAATTTTGTATTGTTCGGAACGTATCCGATTGTGGATTGATTTTTATTGATAATGATTGGTTCTTTCGGCGTATCCCTCATAATCACGTGGAAGGCCTCCTGGGACTAGCCGCCACAGTGCCGTAACAATCACAGGTCATAAATGTTATAGTGCACTTTTTTAATGCAGGATGAGGACTGTGTTATCGTCAACGCGCCCGAAGCGCATTTCGATGGAAATGTCGCTGCCTTATCGCGCTGTTTGCGGTCGACCGCAAACAGCGCGATAAGGCAGGGACACGCCCTACAGCGTTAGATTCCAGCTTGCACAGTATCAACGACCCAGTGAGATTTTTGACACTTCGATATACGGGCCAACAAAAAGAGCAGAACTTCAAAAAATCATAAATCACAAAACACAGCCCCCAAAAAATTACTGTATGACCTGGAGAATTGGAAATGTGTCGCGCTGGATGCAGAGTCATCGTTGCCCACCAACGCACACAACCTTCAAGACTACGAAAACCACAAATCGTTGTCATTTCGTTATGCTTACTTGAGGCACCCAAAAGGGATCGCTGCAAACACCTTCGCGTCGGCACGCACACACATCCGTTCCTCTTGTATCCACCCCCTCGCGTGCAGCAACAACTGCAAAAGCGTCTACTCGCACAATCTCCTTTCTATTGCCTCCTATCGGGCACCCTACGCTTCCATTTCGTCCAAGAGCTAGCCGTCTTCAGGAATCATGGATCCTTTGAGTATCCTTGAACTGGTTGGCGCGGTGGAGGAGGTCGTCAGGCTAGTCCGCCTAGCCATGGATACCCACGATGCTTTCAAGAACAACGGAAGCTTGGCCAAAGATGTTCTCGAACAGTATCTGGAGCTCCAGAAATTGACGGGGGATGTCGCGAGGATCCTCATTCACGACCTAGAGCCTATACACAAGAATGAGTTGCAAAAACAGATTCAAACCGTTTCGCGCTCTATTTCGGGGTTGGTCGAGAAACTCAATTTCGAAATAAAGAATCCGAAGGGTAAGTTACGTGCCGTGGTATCAGCCATGGGAGATCGAGATGTCTTAATGGAGCGCCAAAAAGAAGCCGAAAAGCTCTATGCTTCTATTGATAGCGTAAGGAGTGAATTGCACGTGGTGGGAGAGACACGCAGACAAGGATCGCGCGTAGTTGGTGAGATACGCTTACATGGACCGGTAGGCGACGTGTTCAGGCCCAGCTTCGCAGTTGAATTCAACTCTCCTACAGTGCTCGTTGATTTGGATTCTGCCCGCGGCGGCATTGTTCCTGACACGGTAGAGAGAAGGTTAAAGGCCGCTGTTCTGAGTAACGGAACAACTTTGCATGTAGGGGCCACTGCAGTTGGACAAGCCGGCGTCGGAAAAACATGTGCCCTACGAGCAATTGCACATGATAGAGAGATTGTCACGCGCTTTCCAGACGGAGTGTATTTTTCAACTCTAGGGCAAGACGCAAGAGAAGCAGAGCTGAAGCAACAACTCTGCAATGCTGTCCGCATGTCTGGGGGACGTGAAGAAGGGGACAAGCTGTCGAATATGGCCGAGTTGGACGAGGTGCTAACAGGGGTTCAAGGTTGGTTTGCAGATCGTCGATGCTTGTTCATCTTCGATGATGTATGGTCGCGCAACAACAATGACGAGAGGATCCTACTAAAACTCTCCAGCCTTGCCAGCACAGCGGTGCGAAAGGGTGAGCCAGCAAGCAGGGTTTTGTACTCCACAAGAGATCGGACGCTAACAGATCTGGGCGAGCAAGTTAAGTTTGAGCCGAGAGACGGGCGTAATGCGTACGACATGCTGATTCATGCGAGTGGGGCATCGCGTGGTGAAGCAGAAGATCCAATATCGAGAGAGGCGATTGGCGAGATTCTTGACATGTGTGCAGGACTACCGCTGGCTCTGAATGTTGCAGGAGTCACTGTTAGACAATCAAGAGGGGCTCGTGCCGGGGACAGATCGAAGGTGTGGACGCGATACCTGAAAAGGGTCAAAGAGAGTAAAGGGAGCGGGGCAATCGGCGCGCAGAAAGGAAGGGGCGGGTATGAATCGCTCCACGCAATGCTGCGTTCGTCTTTACAGTTTCTGGACTCAAGTGGCAGCGAAGGATCTCCGTCTTTCGCCGATATGCACCGCGCATTGTGTGTCATGAAGAAACAGGATGTGATTCCTCTGGCAGTGTTGAGGGATCTATGGGGGGTGGATGTTGACATCGCAGGAAAGTATGCGACGCAGATGAACAGTGTGGGGTTGCTTGAAATTCGAGATCTGGCGAACACGGAAAGCCAAGGGGTAAGTCTTCATGATCTTACGCATGATTTCGCAGTCTTCGAAGCAGGCCAGGTAGAAGGCCCTAACTGGGACAAACACTGGTGTCGGAAGCTGGTTGATAGCTTTCGGAAAGAGAGGGATGTGGTCGAAGTAGTTATTGAAGATCAGGGCCCCGAGGCTAGCGAGGCGGAGGAGGGATATTTTTTCGAGAATATTTGTCGACTGCTTGTCAAGGCAGAGCTGATGAAAGAGCTGGGCTGCTTGCTTCATACTAGTAGGTGGGTAATCAAGGTGTTGCTAAGAAAAGCTGTGTGGCAACTGGTGGAAGCGGTGGAAGAGTTGAGGGACGTTGCTAGTCAGAACCCAGAAGTGATTGGCAGTGAGCGGTTGTCTGCAATAGTTCTGGTGATGCAAGCTGCGCGACTGAGTGCATCGTCATGCGATGAGAGCGTCGCCGGTATTTGCTTTCAGCTTTACAGTAGGACAATGCACAAACGGCACATGAAGAGCGTGGAGAGTTTCTTGTTGGACATCGAGAGGTTTGCGCCCAGACCGTGGTTGCTCCCAATACGTCCATGTGTTGCTGCAGCTGCGGGGAGGTTGTCGGAGACATTCGACATGCCTGGTTCAGAAGTGAAGAAGGTGATGTTCGATTCTAACGGTGCGGTCGTTGGATTGGCGTACGTGTGGTACGGCGGAAGGGAGTTGGAAGTATTCACGCGTACCAAGCACGGGACATTTGACAAAACTATTTGTGGCCCTTTCGGATCAGAAGACGAAGAGGCCCTGAACCCGACGGAAAGCGAAACACAAACAGCTAGGACGAGTCAAACAGCGGCAGAAGGACGGTATGCGACACAGAGATGCGTCTGGATCAGGACTGTGGGTAAGATGCTTAGCAAAAAGATGGCTGCCTGCTCTTGCTTTCGCCGATCTCTTGATAATGACAGTGCCGATAACGGTACTAATGCTGACATGTGTGATGACGACACGTCACGCGTCACAGCCGCTTGTATTTCCCAGGACAGCAGCCGTGCTGTTATTGGATTCAACAACGGGGATTTGATTACTTGGTGCACCAGGAAAAACGAGCTTGTTCTATCCTTCGAGGGCCATTCCTCTGGGATATGCGATGTAGTGATGAGCAGTGACGGGAAACGGGTTGCGTCAGGGTCATTTGAAGGGACGGTGCGAGTATGGGACGCTGAGACGGGACGTCAAATCGGCGACACGATGACCGGACACACGGGTTGGGTGAGGGCGGTGTCGATGAGCGGGGACGGGAAACGGGTTGCGTCGGGGTCAGAAGACAAGACGGTGCGAGTATGGGACGCTGAGACGGGAGTTCAAATCGGCGACACGATGACCGGACACACGGATGAGGTGACGAGTGTGTCGATGAGCGGGAACGGGAAACGGGTTGCGTCGGGGTCAGGTGACAAGACGGTGCGAGTATGGAATGCTGAGACGGGACGTCAAATCGGCGACACGATGACCGGACACACGGATGCGGTATGGAGTGTGTCGATGAGCGGGGACGGGAAACGGGTTGCGTCGGGGTCACGTGACGAGACGGTGCGAGTATGGGACGCTGAGACGGGACGTCAAATCGGTGACATGATGACCGGACACACAGATTCGGTGGTGAGTTTGTGCATGAGCGGAAACGGGAAACGAGTTGCGTCAGGGTCACATGACGAGACGGTGCGAGTGTGGGACTCTGAGACGGGAGTTCAAATCGGCGACACGATAACCGGACACACGGATTGGGTGACGAGTGTGTCGATGAGCGGGGACGGGAAACGGGTTGCGTCGGGGTCAGCCGACAGGAGGGTGCGAGTATGGGACGCTGAGACCGGAGGTCAAATCGGCGATACGATGACCGGACACACGGGTTATGTGACGAGTGTGTCGATGAGCGGGAACGAGGAACGGGTTGCGTCGGGGTCGTATGACAAGACGGTGCGAGTATGGGACGCTGAGACGGGACGTCAAATCTGCGACGCGATGACCGGACACACGGATTGGGTGACGAGTGTGTCGATGAGCGGGGACGGGAAACGAGTTGCGTCGGGGTCAGCTGACAAGACGGTGCGAGTATGGGACGCTGAGACGGGACGTCAAATCGGCGACACGATGACCGGACACACGGCTTTTGTGAGGAGTGTGTCGATGAGCGGGGACGGGAAACGGGTTGCGTCGGGGTCAGAAGACAAGACGGTGCGAGTATGGGACGCTGAGACGGGACGTCAAATCGGTGACACGATGACCGGACACACGGATGAGGTGACGAGTGTGTCGATGAGCGGGGACGGGAAACGGGTTGCGTCGGGGTCACGTGACGAGGCGGTGCGAGCATGGGACGCTGACACGGGACGTCAAATCGGCGACGCTATTACCGAACACACGGATGAAGTAACGAGCGTGTGGATGAGTGCGGACGGCCAAAACATGTGGTCAGTATCGCGTGATAGAACGGTTTGCCTCTGGAAAGTGAGGCCGGGTGCCTCTGACATAGAGAAAAGCTGCGAAACGAAAGCTCATGAATGTGAAGGTAGCGTATGGCCCTTGAACGCATTCCGCATTGATAAGGGCAGAGCATTTGTCGAACAGGGCGATGGTACTATAACCACTCTGGCAGAGTTTGGAAGTGGATTGAATACAGTCGCTCTAAACCTCAAGCGCGGGACTGTAGCCGTTGGCATGAGGAGTGGTATGGTTGGTATCATGACGGTTGTGAGTCCGATACATCCGAGCCCGTAGGGGACAAGGTCGTCGCCGCATCTCGAAAGGAGTGTCGTATCGCACTAGGAAGTGGCTGTGGAGGTGACGCAATTTGTAACGCCTTGGCTTGTTCCATTCTCCACATATGTTGATAGTGATAACAAGCATGACATGCACAAACTAAATCTTCACATCGCATTCCGCCTCGTCAGTGTTGAAGTGAAACTCCGTGTCTCATGGCTCGACCGGTATGCGGGTAGCCACCTCGTGTGATATCTCGCAGCGGCGTACTACGCCGTATAGTGCCTAGTAGGCACTATATGGCGTGGGCGTGTACATGTCTAAACCTCTTGCTTCTCTTCCTGAGGCTTCGTGTGTGTGTGTGTTTGGTCTCCGGTAGTAGCGGGTAGAGCAGGCGTGACCTCGCAAACTTGTAAACGGGCAGTCATTTGCAACAGACATCTGCAACATGACTGAAGTGCTCATTGCGTCAAGAGCGCGATTACAGATCGTATGAGCTCACGAGTAGAGAGATACAATGAAACCCTTGACCTCCGATACAATTGCCATTGCAATGGCTGCGAAAGAAAGCGATTCTCTTTTCCGTCCAGGTGCACTTGACGTACTTATACGCCTTTGTGCTTCCATGTGCGGCACGGCATGTAGACTAGTGGATTTCGGTGATTGTTGTGGCGTTTCCCGGGGCGAGTGCCTCCGAGAGGACTAGTCTGGGGTGAATAAGTGTTCTGTTTCCTCTTTATTTCTCTCGTCGACACGAGACTATGGGTCTTTTAAATACGTGCCGTATGCAGTGCTAGAGTGTCCTTCCACGCCGTCTCCGGTACCGCAGACAGTGGGAGGTTGTATTGTGTACGTTTGCAATGTAAAACTCTAACGATTAGATGCAAACGGTTCTAATCTTGTGCACAGTATACCGAATATTTCTAATGCCGTTCGAGCGAGTCGTTCACGAGCGCGGGGCATGTGACCGGCAACGAACAATTGCGTCACAGGCGCACCAATTGTTGGGTATTTAAGAAATCTTCATGTGGGTTTGTGTTGTACTGTATGTGCATAGTCGCGCTCTATGTAGTACTGTTCAGGAGAATTTCTGCATGTACTATACAGTTGTAACCGGCTGTGCACGGTTTCCCTTTTTCATACCAGTTGGTTCATTGCTGTATTCCAGAAGGTACACGTAATACAGGTAGTCAGCGCTGTTAGTTTCTACGAGGGCACCAACTGGTAATTCTAGATTTAGGGCCAGTCCTAACAGGCGCTTTTCTTTTGTTTTCCTTCAACCAGTTGCGGTCACGCTATTGGCCGGATCATTTCATTAAATTAATCGCACGCCACAACGAATGCTACACAGAACCACTGTAATGCTTGGTAATTCTGCGAACTGGTCGAAATCCATTGGCTAAAGGAAGTACCAATCCACACCCAGTCCATATGCACACTACTAAAATTCCATGGACTCGATGCGGTGCAGTGGCACTTGCAGTACAATGAAAGGGTGGAATTAAATCCAAATACGAGCACATGCAGATCAAAACATTAGTTCTCTCAACATTACAAACCAGACACAGTACCTTCTCCCGCCATTTTATGTGCACAACTCGGCCCTCCCCCGCCTCGACGCCCACGTGAAATTTGCGACAGTCGTTTGCTAGCATTTTACACTCTGTTTAGGAAACGGAGCACCACCGGACGGCAGAAGGGTACCCAGAGTTCAGCACCCAGAGTTCAGCTTTTTGAAATCAAATGCCTCCTTGGCATCGATCATGAAATGGAGAGAAGCCGGGGAGGCTGCTCTCTAGTTCATGATCGATGATGAAGTGGCTTCGCCGAAATCCCTTTCCTGTGAACCACCCCGCCCTCGCTCCCTCCCCCCCGCCACCAACCCCCCTTCCCCCCCAAATAAGACCACGTCCCGTCCTCCCCGCCACCCCCCTTCCCCTAAATATCCCCACGTCCCCTCCCCGCCACCCCCCCTTCCCCCCCAAAATCCCCACGTCCCCTCCTCCCCGCCACCCCTACCTCGCGCCCGACCACCACGCCCCATCACCATCTTCCTCACCTCCTCAGTACCGTGACAAACACACATCCTCCGACATGCTATTGTCCCCGCCACCGCGTCATCCTCCTAACATCGACACCGACACAGTCTCTCCCCGCACCCTCCATCCCTTCCATATCTTTCGTTTCATATCTCAATCCAGCCCAGTTTTGGTCATGCACATCGAGGGACCTCATTATAGCAACACGTCGTCCAGCTTTGCTTTTGTCGAGCTACAGGGAGTCAGGGCCTTTCTTAACTCGCATGCGCGGCGTGCGTGCATGCGTGCCCAAGGCCTCTCTCCACCCCTATTGGCCCCTGAAGAATAATTTAAACCACGTCTGGCTCCATTACACTACTCCTCTCCGTACACGCAGCCGCCTGGCACATCACCAGCCTCGACCTTGTCAACACCTCATTGGCACCGACGCCAATCTTCAAAATTTAAAAAAGGCGGCAAAACGGCAAGCTTAAAGCCCACGTTTGCACATCTCGATGCTAATCTCCGAGTTGGTCCAGCTAAGATACAATTTTGCTTCCTATGCGAAACATGCGTCGAAACGCATGGCGGTCGAGGTGTTGTGTAACGCGATGGAAGGGTTTGGAGAATGTGTTTTGAAAGGGGCGCTCGCGTGTTGCTAGTGGGCGATTTCGTGGACGTCGAGTGCGAGTAATCACACTTTTGCGGCGAGCATGATGATGATGCGCTACAGCGGCCACGACGAGTGCGACAGCTTTCTCCTCCAGAGAAAGAGGTGGCATGTTTGAAGACAGGTGAGAGAAGAACAACTCTAGCTGCTTTGGTAGGCTTGCGATCGGGTATGATCTGGTTGGGTGGGCGGCTGTATTGTGGACGACGGCGGTAGCGTGTGCTGCATCTGACCAATCTGGAGATACTGTAGCCGCAGGAAGCACGGAGCCTGACAAAAGTTTAAAAATTAATGCAGCATTAAAATTGAAGACGTCACCCATACGATCCCTACAAATATTTCTCAATCGGATGGGTGCCTCAGCAAATTTGACCGCGTCACCCCCTCAACACTACACTGTACAAGATTAAAGACTGTAAAGGTTACTTCCCCACGCACGCACGCACGCACGCACGCACGCCGCGCAGCCGAGTTAAGAAAAGCCCTCTCAGACTGGGCCATGTGCATGCGCGAGGAGGCGTTGCTGTACCTTCCATGCTGCATGGATCTGCAGACCGTCCAGACTCTGTTCCATTTCCGAGGAGTGGAACTATGAGATGGCATTACAGTAAAAACTACAGCAATGTGCTTCCGATTTTAGTGAAGAACTCAATAAAAACGGGGCGAGGGAAAGGAAAAACGAGAGGAAAGTCCTTTGTTAGGACTGGCCCTTAGTCGACCCTCCGTCGTCGCAAGAAATAAACTCGCCATCGAGGTGTATCCATCGAGGCACCGACTTTCAAAAAGTATACCCAGCTTTACCATAGTTGCCACAACAGTGCACGATGCCTTGCGCAACTTTGCGCTTTCCACCAAAAACCCGCTAGACGTAATGTGGCATCGGCGGCAATCACCTCCCATGTGCATTTAGTTAGAGAGGCAGTGCGGTACAGGTTACAGGCTGGGACTTGAGGGCTACAGCGAGTAGACAGGCGCCTTGATTTGCTTTATCGGATACTGAGGTAGTGCTGTGTTTGTGCCGCCTCGGTATAAACGCGCGAGGGAATTCAGCTTGAGTGCAAGGGTACTGAGGAACGAGAGGGGGGAATGGATAATGTCGTGAGGGAAGGGCAGGCAAAGGGCGATGCGCTAGGAACGAGGGTCGAGGAGCTAAAGATGGAGGCCATGAGGATGAAGGAGAGCATCGGGGCCGAGGTTGAGGAGAGGAAACTGGACGCAAAGAAAAGGGAAGAATGTCCTGGAAAAGGGGCACGAAAAATTGAAGGAAGTGGAGAGAGAGAGAGAGGAGTTGAAGAAGGGGTTGAAAGACTTCAGGATCCAGATGCAGATGAACATGCTAGATGCTAAGGCCGCAGCGAAGCTTGCAGTCAAGGTGAACGACGAGATCCTAATTAAGCTGAAGAAGGAGACCGGCGAGGCGCACGAGGAGGCTGCCAAGGCCCTCGAAGAGAGAGAAGAGGAGCTAAGAAGAAGAACAAGTGGAAATGCAAACCGTAGGAGTGTTACCAGAGGAGGTGCTTCACTTGACGCAGCATTGGTCAAACGACAGCAAACACACATCTAAGATTTGGAAGCCCAGCTCGCAAAGCCCGAGGAGAACAAACTGGCAGAGTCGCAAAAGAGGGAAAGGCTACAAGCGAAGGCAGATGACCTCCAAGCGCAGGCTGTCCGTGTACAGGAGCTGTACAACGCCGACTGTACTCCTCTGCCTATTTCACTTCATCGTAGCGCTATGTCCACACTTCTCAGCCCCGCCCCGCTCGCGGGCGACATCCGTGCACCTCCAGGAAGACGGAGCAAGACAGTTACACCATCTGTGCGTGCCGCGTACGTCACACCTTCTATGAAAAGAGGGGCCGATGAAACCAAATCCGAGTCTAGAAGCCGCTTCACCGCTTCTCTGCCTTTCCGACAAGAGAATGACGATGAAGATGAGGTCGAAGATGCTCTTCAAGAGAGTCGGCTGCATGAAGCAGAGTAGCAGGACGATGGAGAAGATGCCCGGGTTTTGCTCCAAAGCGGAGGGGCAAGAGCAAGGTAGCAACGGCATCTAAGCCGCGCTCAACGGCCCGTCAGAAACGCCGCACAATAGAGGTGGAGGAATACGCATTGGGCGGAACAGAAATTGAGGACACTAGTCTTAAAGACGTCGGACAATGCGCGGATGATGATAGTACCCATCCGTCTCAAAAGCGCATCGTCCGAAAAGGACACCAAAGACGACCCTACGGGAAGGCGAGAACCAAAATTGAGAGTCGTTCTGACAAGATCCCGCCAGCGGAGGCCTCCGTAGGAAGACTGCAGACATGACCAGCAGTCCATTTCATCCCCTTGACCATCTCCCTTCTCCCCTGGGGAGGTTCTACGGGGGTGGAAAAAGGCACAACGTGGATTGAGACGTCGGGTGTATGAGGAGTTCTGTCAAATGAGAATGAGCGATTCTTTTTAGACAGAGCTATGATTATCGCGCCCCCCTTAGTGATAAACCTCTGTGTATGGATATTGTTGTCTTATACGAACTGCACTCTTATTCGGAGGTTGCACTGTATCGGTGTCGGTGTTGAAGGGTAGAGGTCGGTCCATGGACATGGGGCGTGTCTTGGAACGCCGAAAAGCGTTGGGGAGGAAGGCAGTTAAGAATTTGGTTGCATCTGTGACGTAGCAGTCAGAAAACCTCAAATAAAATTGTAATTTTTAAGAGATGGACCATGACTGTCCAATCGTCTTGTTCCGCTTGCGCGCCGTCGGTTGTGGTGGCGGACTCGCGTTTGTGCGGTTTTCTTCACAAAATTAGAATACTGTAGAGGCACAAGCTCAACAGGGTCTTCTTTCCCCGCCGATTTCGCCGAGCCCGTTCCCTCGGCTGTGGTTTCGCTAGAAGCAGATAGGGACAGTAGGAATCTCCACCGCCGCTGCGCATTGACTGGCTTTTGTGGCTTCTAGACCCACCAGAACGAGAGCTTTTTTTTGGCGGTGCAAAAATCCCAATCTGACTTGATAAAGATGGTTTTATTATTATGTCCTATTTTAAAACCTGTCCTATAGAAAGGGCACCCCCCGTTACATGTCCTCTGCACAGTAAGTAGCCCCCCCCTCCCTTCTTTGATGCCTACTGCCCCTCTCCGAACTCCCTCATGCATCCGTAGACAGTGCAGGACTGGTCGGTTTGTCTCACTATGGATAAGAGTGCTCAGCTCCTTGTCCAGAATTGACCCCTTTTACTCCTTTGCCGAGCTCAGGAATGGCCAAAAAATATTTGTCTGATTGGTAAAAGCGTTGATTTTTCATTTCTGGAAACTGTCCAGAATTGAACCAACGAGAACGGTACTACACTAGTACAGGGGGGGAGGGGGGGTCACCCAATAGTGCCTAGTTTAGCAGTGCCTCTCTCTATATAGTGCTATACTTCCCCCCTTGTCACGTGGTATTGTAACATACCCACGTGTCCACGTGTGAGATGTATCCATGCTATACCACATCACGCTTCAGCGGCGTCCAACTCTAGCTAGTTTCAGGCATCGTTCCGAAGCTCATGCGTTCATGACGTTCAGATCCGATCCACTTCCCCCCCCCCCCACCCCGCCCCCAGTGGAGAAGGAGTCGGATGTAATTGTAGGAATAGTCACCGACCCGATGGATGGTCTGCAAATAAGTTGGCTCGGTCGGGCAGAGAAAACAATGATGGCACTAACAGTGGTTCCGACAGGCGACGCTATCGCCCCATACCTACTGCTGTTAAGCTCACGGAAATGTTTTTGGGGCTGGAGAAATTGGCGTATGAGTGCAATGTACAGGAAGCAAGTTCTATGCTACGACGCGCGAAGAAATTATTTCTCAATGCACGGGCCCAGGGAAGCAGATCACGAGAGAGGCAAGCAGTGCTGGGCGATTATCTATGACTAAAGCGTATCTACGCAAGCATTATAGGGGTCCATATTTCCTCCGTTTCACTCTCCGCTAGTAGTGCCACTACTGAATAGTGCCACCTTCTGGCATGTAGCAACGGGTGGCACTACTGCGTGTATCCCACTGTATTGCGCAATATAGGAAAGGTACCGTTGGACACAGAAACACATACACCTGTATACAGTCCAGAGAGTAGGAGTAAAATTTTGGCACGGTAAGGCCATGCGACATCGCTTTCCGGATCAGGTCAATTTTGAATACCTGTATGTAGTTTGCTCACCCAGTGTGTGGGAGAGTGCAAGGGTTTTCGAGGGCCTCAGGGTCCGTCTTTGCCAAGCGGTGCAAAACGGAAACCGTGGCAGTATGTTTGCTCGAGGGTACAGGGTACGGGCAGCTCGACAACTGAGGAGCGCGTGGTTAACTGATCCCGGTCACCATTTGTGAGAAAAGGGCAAACAGCTTACGACAGATCTTGCAGGGCCATCAAATTGATCTACATGATCATGAATTGCTAACCTGAAACATACCAAAAGGGGGTGGCACCGCAGGGCCCGGATTTGTACTGTAGACCAGGCGGGGCCAGGAATTTGTGAAGCGGGATCAGATGAAGCAAATCCTAGATTTCATTGGCATTTGTCGCACTGTAACTTGATAATCTTCAGCTCTTCTGATGCGTAGAGTGTGTATTAGAGTACAATAAGGGTGGCCTTAGTTTGCGTAGTATGTAAGACGCACCTGGAATATGAATGTATACAACAATTTTGCGGTATACACCCAGTTTCTAGGTAGTATTGTACCGTACTGCAGTATTGTACGTGTAGGTGCCTGGAACTGAGGCGAGCATCATTCCGTCTTTTCAAATAAACTTTTGGTTGGAGAAGCGAGTGCTAGGGCTGTACGAGGCCAAGCAGCATGGGCCATGATTGGTTTGATGGCAATTCTGTATCTTCTCATTCCCTGCTCTACCCACACGCTCACTTCGACTTCAAAACCAATCCATGATAAGCAGTAATGTACAACAATGCGTACTGGCAACGATGTGGGGCGTTTAGACATGCAGTGACTACATTCCCCGAGATTACCATGTTCCTTTACACACCTCTTCTTTCTACGACCACAATACTGTAGCAACATAGAGCTGCGGGAATACAGTGCAAGCCAGATCTGTGCATCGATTTGCGGCTTGTGTTCATCAATTGAAGATCAAATTACGCGACCTTGCACATTGCCCTCCTCGACGAAGCAATTCCCCTCTATCACGTAAATTGGTCTACGGTACTCTATATTCGCTGTATATTCGCTTCTTCTGCCACTGTTAGTGGAAATACATCAGAAGCACCCTGCCGTTTGTATGAAGTAAGGTAAGCTCGCGATTACAGCATCCGCTTATTCGAGTACCTCCCCTTACGAGAACAAGCTGCACACCTGCGATTTGTGAACATTCCCCAGCCATTCCTGACCGCAGCGTTGTTGTACTGTATCACACCCTATTCCTGACCCTTGTGTGGTTCATTTCTGAGGACTCTGCTTCAAACAGACGACACTATTTAAACGCGGCGGAGGCCCCCTTTCAATCCCGGCGCCATCCATCCTCACAACTGCCCAGCTCTTCCGGCGCTCCACGCGACGACGACTTCTGCGCAACTTCACTCTCACGATGAACACCTCCTTCCTAACTCTCCTCTTCGTCGGGCTCG